GGTTTGGGGGGCTGATTCTCCAGTCCTTCGTCTCTCATACTCTTGCCCTTCCAGGAATCACTGGGATCCTCATGAGTGCTGCAGGGCTGCCTGTGTGTCTCACCAGGCCACCAAAGCTGGCCCTCCACCCACCCCCCGTCAGCAAGAGGGAAATAAAATCCATCCCAGGGGTTTCCAACACAAGCCGCAAGACCACCAAGAAACAAGCCAAGAAAGGTATCAGCCTCTTTATCGAAAGGGCTCCTGGCGGGGAGGTCACAGACTTGGCTCCCAGCCCTGGCTCTTCCTCCACCACTGAGGGTCACACCCATGCCTTCCCCGCTCTGTGCCTTAATTTCTGCATCTGCTAAATGGGCCTACCTAGTACCTGTTCTGATGATTACATCGAAGTGGATGAGGTATGGAGCAGATGGAGACACCTTGAGAAATATAGAAATGCAGTGCAAAAATATAGACACATAAAAATAGGATGCGTGACACAGATAAAATGTCAGTACATTAGAGAGAAAGATCACTTTGACATTGGAACCCAAACAGACTTGACTCATATCCCAACTTCGTCCCTTGCAGTCTTGTGACCCTAGTCTCTTATTTTCTCACCTTTACAGTGGGCACAACCGGTACCCGGCAGGTAGGTCCTGTAATGCATCCACGTCACTGGGGCAGTAACCACTGTCTTGCGTCCCTCTGTAGACTCCAGATGTTCTGGCCCCTCGAACCCCCCTTTAGGAGCTCCATTCTCCCTTTTCACATCCTACACCTAGGAGGTCAAATACCTGTGCTTATCAGGGCACCAAGGACCCCACTTCAGCTCTGTGGCTGGTCTTTCTAGTCTCTGGTATTGGTTGTTAAATGATTTCACCGTCACCCCTAAGTCCCCACCTTGCAGACTTGTTATGAAGTTTCAGTGGGATCCTATGTATATTGTGACTTAGCCCGGGCAAGCAATAGGCTTTCAGTTAATAGAAGCTTGATGCTTCTAAGAGAAGCAGGGCGGTGGGACGGAAGGGCCTGCATCCCAGCTTTTGAATGTTGCAGGATCCACTTCCTCAAACCCTTGTCCTACTTTTCAGTCAATCAAAAGCTCTCTGCTTAAATAAACTTGATTGCCTTGCTTGTAGTCTCATAGGAAACGGCAGGATTGTGCACTTTCCCACTCTCCCTGTTACTATTAATAGCATATATCAGACTCTTAGCAGGTAAAGTGCCAAAGAACTGTACACCCATTAGCTCATTTAATTGTCAAAGCATCGCTCTCAGTAGGTGCTAGTGGTTGCTCTTGCCCATTTCCTAGGTAAGAAAACAGAATCTTAGAGACGTTAAGAAGGTCACCCAGGGAGGCACTGACCCTTTTTTCAAATTTCTATGCCTCTTTGTGAGTCCGTATCATCCCATCCCCTGCCTTTAGGCTAGGCTGCCTAGCCTTAGGGGTCCAGTTCCCCCCTCCCCAAAATTCCAGAATCAATGCACCTGTCAGGTAATTGCTTCCCAGAGCATCACCCTTTCCCTA